ATCTTCAAAAATTCATCTTCAAAGATCAGTTAGACAAGGGGATTCCCTGACGCTCTTTCTATTTGTAACAATCATGGAGGCATTAAGTGATAATCTAAGGACTAACAACAATCTCAAACGACTAAGGATCTCCGACATCCCAGAGGAGGCCATACCGATTACCTTTTTATTTGCCGGCGATTTAACACTAATGATGAAAGTCTCTGAGAGTAATATGGAGGAGATTAAATCCTTGATGGATCGATTCTCCCAAGTATCTGATATGGTTGTAAATTGGGGAAGTAAAACACAAGGATGATGGATTCACTCCAATGACACTAGACCACCAGAACTTCCAAGAATCAATTGGGTACCACTTGATGTTCCAATCCGCATTTTAGGAGTCACTCTCACAGCTCGCGGTAAACCGGTCATTAATGATGAATGGGTTTCTGGCCCAGCACTTGATAAGATGAATCAATGAAAGGATCAACGTACTTCTTTGTTTGGGAGAGCCCTAATCCTTAATAACGTTATATTTGCCTTGATGTGGTATAAATCTACATGATGGTCTATTTCCCAAACACGGATGAAATTGTTGAGAAAACAGGTTTCAACATGTTTTATGGAGAAGTAACCATGAGCAAGAAAAGGTAATTCCAAGGGTTGTTTGGATTACAATAATTCAACCCGAATCACGGGGGGGGCTAGGGATTCCTGACCCAACTTCGCAATGCTAAGTCCTCTCTATTCAGTGGATTAAGAAATTGATTTTTGGTATTGACAGACCTTGGTTGGTGCTAGCTTTGGAGCAAATTCGAAGGCTGGTTCCCCCTACCAGTGAGGATGTGCACCCCCTTACATGGATTGAGGATCGCTATTGGAGCATTCCCAGAAAACACCCTCAATCCAGAATAAAAGGGGATAGAGGGGCATCTAGAAATGATCTTGGGTTGGATGATTTTTTGGTTACTCTACTCACAACTTGGCGTCACCTACCTCTACCAACTAAACCATTCCCCTCTAGATATGAGGAAGTGCTTCGTCAGCCCCTCTTTGGTAACAGATGGATTACTGATAGGAATTGAGTTATCTTCAATAGTTTTGCTTCGTCGTAGTCTCTTTGGGTCAAGTGGGGGATATTGCGGGTAAAAGATTTGTGAGACTCAACCAAAAAGGACTAAAAAAAGGTGGAACAATTAAGAGAGATACTTAGGTATCCTCATCGGCTAGCGGATTGTCTGGATCAAATCATTTTTTTTATTTCCTTGGCTTGGGTCTGCACGCTAAGGGAAGGGATTTGCTTCAAGGAAGCAGACTCGGTAGCAGGATGCATACCTAGTGATCAAAATAAAATAGGCCAAGCGATACACCTACTACCTGATGGAGGTTTGGTAGGCATATGTGGAATCAAAAAAGATTATACCCTAATCACACAAGAAACAGTGGAACTGCTTCCCTACGACTGTATGTATAGGGTTAGGGTGATTTTTTATTCCTCTTCCCAAAAGTGGAAGGCATATCACCCTGAAATCCCGGTCCCCGATCTACCTTTTGATCCTACGAAGTGGATTTGGTTGACCTGTAAAACAGGAAAACCAAGTGTATTGCAATCTCTAACAGTCAAGGTCGCGTATAGGCTACTTCGCCCAATAGTGGATATTGCAGCAATTATACAGGAACGATGGGCTAGACACCTCAATATAAATAAAAATTTAATCAAACACATCAAGCTCTTAAGAGCACTCAAGCAACGTCCAGCTAAATTTGCCTCTCTGCAGTGACAAATAATTCATCGGTGTTTGCCCACAAATGATTGGGTGATTGACCGCTCGACGCTGGAACAACGAGGCTTGGCAGTGCCATGGTGTAAGTCTTGTGTGTCTGCATTCCGAGGCTTGGCAGTGCCATGGTGTAAGTCTTTGTGTGTCTGCATTCCCTAATCGAAGATTTCGGGAAACCATTGAGCACATCTTTTTGCAGTGTGCTGGTTCGGTATTGATATGGCATCGGTGACATTGCATTTGGAGGACTATGACAAGTCTAGATTGCCCCTGGGATTGGAGGGTTATTCTTCTCAGTTATTGGGAGCCTGCAGACATTCAGTTATCAGACTTTCAACAAAACTTCTTTATGATTGGGCGTAAGGCTGTTCTCTAGACGATGTGGTACAAATGTTGTGTAAGGGAAAGAGAAAAAGTAAGGTTAGAAAACTTCGATATTGTGGAACTAATTGTGGATTTTGTTTAAACAGAGGTTCAGACACAATGGGAGGTCCTCACAATCAAGTTATATAAATTTCATTTAAAAAAAGACATAAGGAAGGCAATCCAACAATTTGAAAAAGACTGGCTGGGAAATTCTGCAGGGGGGGGGGTTGGGTGAGGTGAAGTGGCCAGGGGCGGATAGGGCTGAGGAGCCTGTCAGAAAGGGCTCTCGGCTCTTTTTCCGAGACTGGTTCAAACTTCAGCCAGGAGCCTCGCTCAGATCTTCTCAATTTTTCACAGATCCATTCCCAGCTTCCAATCTTGCTTTGGTTGATCTACAATGGTTTGGATTAGAGAGAGAGTGAAAAAGTTCGATGTGAGCACAATAACAAAAGAGGGCTTGGGTGCTGGGTTTGATAAGCTAATCTGGCGGTCGTTAATTAGACTGAAGAGGTGCCCAGGTCTCAATCCTTTTTCATTCGAGCTATCAATAGGATCAAGAATGTCATCAGGGACGTTGGGCCTGGTTCCCAGCACGTGTTATTTTACCATTGTTCAAGGGACGTTGGACCCGTTTTCCAGCAGGTGCAGCTCCCCACCAATAGAATGGATCCCCCTGCATAACAGGTAGGAGTGCATACTCTTATCATCACTCATATCCGTTGGTGCAGGTGTTTTAAGAAAAAAAAAAAAAAAAGGTTATCAGATTTTTCTTGGCCGAAGCCAGACAATGACCTTGGTGTTTCAACTGACTTGTATAATTCTATATGGGACGCTGGGCCCGGTTCCCAGCACGTGTTGCTCCCCACGAATAGACTGGAGCATTTGTCCCCCCCTCCCCCCCCCCCCCCCCCCCCCCCCCCCCCCCCACCACCAAAGGAAGATAAACACCCCCCCCCCCCCCCCCCCCCCCCCCCCCCCCCCCCAAAAAAAAAAAAAAGTGATTTGTGGTACTTGATGTGAAACAAGCCAGTTTGTACCATGTGTATGTGTTGTGTGTGTGCTGTTGGCATTTGCCGGTGGTCGGTGTGAGTGTGAGGAGCCTGCTGCTGGTCTTGATGAACCTTTGTAAGTCCCAATGTTCGGCTTTGCTCCCGCATCTTGAGCGTACGTAAAGTCTCGTACTATCTCGCCATTCTGCATCCGTCCTGACTTTTAGACGGCGCAATCCTGGCTACGATCTTGCATTTGGGGACCTCTGGCACAATCCCGGCTACCATCTTGCATTTGGGGACCTCTTCCTGACCGACAAAGGAGGGAGAAGGAGGGGGAGGGCGGGGAGAGGAGAGAGGGTGACGGAATTTGGAGAAGGGTGTGGAGGTCGAGGGGCCAATAGGGGGATAAGGGGACTAGGGAATAAGAAGGCTATGGAAGGGGTGGGGGGTGTCAGGGACTAGTATGAAGTCAGTCGGTTGAAATAGAGAGACAAGTGGTCAAGGGTAAGGAACTCCCACTGGGTTTCCGTGGACAGCTATGGCTATGACCGGAGGTCCTGAAATTGATCCAGCCTGCATAGCCTGTGATTCGGGTCCATCCATTTGGTCTGGAGGTTAACCAGTAGCTGCTGCTTTTTGGGTTCTTCCATCTCGTTTTGGAGCTTGGTTTGTAAGTTCCTCCAGGCCGCTTGCATTTCTCGCAATATAGTGTCCGCCATTGTGGTTCGCACTTTGATAAATCTGAATGTGTATTGTCCTCTATCATGGGAGCATCTCATGCGCCATGCCGCCATAAGCAGGGTCGAGCGAGAGTACTGAAACATATTTAGCATAAACTACGTCCAGTCAGCTCCCTCCGGAGGGAAGATCACCAAACAAATTGTCTTTACGTCCCACAGGAAATGGGAACCGGTGAGGTAATGCCAGGCTGCGTCCCACCACCTCCAGAGTCGAACCACCATAGGGTAGTCTATCAAGCAATGCTCCAGGGTGACTCGTTTTCTGGGGGAATGAGCTCGCAGTATGTACATAGTGGTGAAAGAAGTCCTCTCTGTTCAAGGTTAGTTCTTTGAGTTATTCAATCAGGGGTGGGCAGGCATCTGTGTATAATCTGCCACTATAGCGCTCTATGATTGGTCAGTCTAATGTGGGAGTAGGATGAACATCTAAAGGAGCTCAGATCTGCGCGTTTTAGCGGAGAGTCTCCGTCCCACCGTCTGAGGATAACGTCCATGACCGGGATGTGCTTTCACATAGTTTTGTATCCCTTTTTCACTGAATATTGCCACGTGCGCATGGACGATGTCTTCCCCCACTTCCATTCCCATTTTGTCGGATCGAATGGAAGGTGAGAGAGGGGGGTGGTTAGTTCTTAGACAAACTGCTTGTCTTCTTCATCTTGCAGCACTTGCACTCTGACGAGGCAATCCGGCGGGCTCAGGCATCCAAGCCTTCTTCCCTGTGGAGGCCTGACCATCTTGCTCCTGGCACATCTGGGATGTATGCTGCAAGTTGCAAGGAGGTGGGGGAGAGTATGTGGTCCACCTTGTAGACAGACATGGGAAGGTGCAGCTATTCCAATCGTACCACTCAGTCCCCTTTTGCTAGGGTAGGCCCTTTACGCATGGCTACACCCATGCCAATGGCACTGCCTCGCGGAGCTCTCTCAGATCCGGTAATCCAGGTTAGGATACCTGCCTAGCGTATTTTGGATCGTTTGTACCCTATTCCAGGTGGATGTGTTGTCATCCCATAGATCCCCGACTGTGTAAATGCCCTTCTTAAACCACCAGTGAAATCAAACTCGTCTTCTTGTCACTTTGTCATGCCTGCAAACAGCGGTACAGCAACTGGCGACATGCACCCACACAATACTCAAGATATCGTAACCAGATATGAGTTCTCTTCAACTGGCTATGGCGACTGGGCGCCCACACAACTCACTGTTCGCACTCTGGATCACCCTGGATGTCCCACACGCAACACTCAATATTATACACAACACACACACATACTATGCTACAGCTATGGCAGCGCTAGCTGCCTCTCCCCTATCGCTACACTACACTTCTCTGCCCACTTCGTCTTC